CTGCCTTTCTTTTAAGGCTTCATCTCCATATACGGCACATAACTTCTTTTGTGCTTGCGATGCGTTCTTGCCTTTTCGGAAGTAATACAATAAAATGTGTCGGAAGTGCACGTCCTGTTCTTTCATGTTTAAATTGGAATAAAAACAAAACTAAAGAACTAAACAAAAAAATTTTTACTAATTAACCTAGAAGCCCATACAGTAAGAAAAAAATATAGGTTAGATGCTCTGGCCACGTTAACAAAACAAAAGAAAGTATAGGGTGAATCCGTCAACAAAAACGGCAATGACTTAGTTGCCCACCCAATAGATACTGTACTAAAGGACAAATCTAGCGTAATTTTATTATTTTATATTCATAAATGAAAATTTATTAGAAATATTTGCATAAAAGAATAAACATTATTTCATAAAAAAATATATCAGACTTTTAAGCATTCGTAACAGATTACCTTTCCATCAAGATCAACCTTTCCTTGTTCTGATTGTAATGCCTTACGCATACCGAAGGCAACGCTTGATTCGTAGAGCGTTTGATATGCAGCAATAGTCATTCTTATTTCGTCTCTTACTCTTAGGAGAAGTAATCCTCTTTCAGCACAATTTATTGTAACTTGACGAATTAATTCATCAAAAACCTGGGAGTATAGTTCACGACGAACTGGGCAAATTCCTGTTTCTCTAGCCTGTCTTTGTTGAAGCCTTCGATCTAACTCCTCCTGCAAATTAATTACATCTAGTCTTGTTGCTGGTGTACTGGAAACTTGTTGAATCCAAAGTTTGTCATTTTCAGTCCACTCTCTAGTTAGCTATTCACATTTATCTTATTTTCCTACCTCGGAGGAATAATAGAGTTTAAAATTTCCTCAACTGCTTGAGAATACTTCTCATCACAAGCCTTAATGCCACACGACTTAAGACCAGATGATGGAACTGGTCCAGTATTATTAACTTCCTTTGGAATCCCCTTAATTACTGGGCCCTAAATACATCAGCAAATTAAAGCTATCTAACATTTTGGATTTTATTATCCTGTTTCTTTGTTATAAGCACAGGTACATCATATTTAACTAATGAAACATTCGGTGGGATCATTATTTCATAAAATTGTCTAATAGTATTCGCTATAGTAACCTAATAAATGGCGAATTTAAACACATTTAAATCATAGTGATTATACATATTTATTATTTGAATTATATCAAAGTGGTAAATGTAAAAGTATCATTGCTCTTGAACCCAATTAAAGCAAATATTTCCATGAACGAGTCAGTCCTAAACAAATCGATGTTTTTAATATATATTATGTTTATTGCGGTGGATCTGATAAAGGTTTGTATCTTTAGTAAAATAGTAAATACACTTATTTTAAAATTTGCGATCTTAAATACATCCTCATATACATGATACTTTTAAGTGTATGTATAATATAAGTGCTCTAGAACGTTAAAAGTATTTTGCAATCACTGCGTTGCAGCACAACAAAATAATCCATTATACTTTTTTTTCTAATGTATCAAATTGGAAGTAATATGGTGATATTCATTGATCAAAACTGTTATGTAAATTTTATGAACACGTTTTCAAGCTTCAGAGAAGTAATTTTAAATATAAATATGATTGAAAATTTTCTATTAAAGCTTGGGAACTTCGATATCAAAAGTGCGAAAAATTCAGGTAATGCCAAAAATAAATATAAGCTTTTGAAAGATTCTTAAACAGAATACTTACAATCTCAAGAATAACATTTTCTTGTTTGATTCTTCACGATAGAGCTGCCATAATATTATGCCGTTTATCTATTACGCTCAAATAATCATTCATTTTATTTACTATGTGCTAATCTAAATGCTTCATATTATTTGATGTGAGTTACTTATAATTAATTGATATATCTCTTGTGGGGTTGCTCAACAGACTTCATTGCATTGAACCCTGGTCAGCGTATACTCATACGGAAAAAATGTATAAACCGGTAGTTGACTTCAACCTACCATGACCCACTTATGTTAATTTTGAACCACTTCACGGTAATCGCCTTACCATTTTCTGTTCCTCCTATCGACGTTTTGTGACACTGATATGAATCCCCAATGTGAAGCCGGGAGTCAACTAAGGAACTAATGAAGATTATCACAAAGGCTCCAATTTGATAAAAATAAATACTTCATGTAAGGGAAAAATAGTGATATATATGTTCAAACGAATCGGAGAATTTAATAAAATCAAAATTGCTGATGAAATATAGGAGCGCTTTCCAACACTAGCTTTTAGTGTGCATAGAAATTAAAATCACATCTTAATAATATGTAGATTAAGTAATATTTGGGGGACATGTCTATTAAACAATGTAAGAATTTATATATTTACAGAATAAAATTATTAAAAGACATAGGCAGGCACCTTTATGCAGATTATCTCTAAATCATTATAATGAACTCCTCCTGGATTACAAAAATGAAACTCGAATTCCGCTTGATAATGTTTAAGAATCTTATAAATTGTGATAGTGCGAAAAAAATAAATAAAAGCATAGTAAATTAAGCAAATATTGAATATATGTCTTGCTGCAAATGCTATTTATCATTATTAAAATAAAAATTATATTTTTGATCTAACCTTGAAAAACTTTTATTGCTTTATCATAGAGGCGAGTAATTTGTTGAATCTCGTGCAGAAATGTTCGGTGCTACTGCGTCTTTAATGTAAGCCAATAACATGTATTTAATATATTTTTTAAGTCTTTGTTGCAAATGTGGGACCTCCATTCGGTCCAATCCGACCAATATGTGTGAAGCCTGTCTTACTTCAGAATGTAACCTTACAAAGGATGTGGAAACGCAGTATACCATTGTATTTTGCCCCAAGTGTAATAGGTAAGAGCATCCTTAGGAGTTATCGTTTAAGGTTTCTAAATCCTCCATCCCAATGGGTTCCTGCTTCTTTGGAATCACCAGAATTGCTTTCAATCTGCCTCAAAAAAGTGAAAGGCCTCGGAAAAAGTCTTCAACTGAAAGAAGCCTCTTTCGTCTACACAGAACCACATTCGAAACGTCTCATTGTTCAGATTGTTGTCCGTGGAGAGATTTATGCTAGTACAGTTGTCGAACAAAAAGCTGTTCTTCACTACGTTATGCATCCACAGCAGTGCCTTGATTGTACTCGCCACGAAGCTAAAGATTACTGGAATGCTAGGGTTCAAGTCAGACAAAGGGTTGATATGCCTAGAACCCTTCATATGCTCGAGCAGCTTTTGCTTAGAAAGAAGGCTCCTAGAAAATACAGTAATGTTAAGAATGTGAAAGGTTTGTCTCTTTGCTTTACTACATTTTTACTGATAGTTGAACCCCAGTAAGTATTTATTTTTTTAGGTGGTATTGATTTCTACTTTACGATACGTTCAGACGCTGTTGCTTTTACAGAGTATGTAGGGAAACTGATTCCCTGTCGTACACATGTATCTCAACAACTCAAATCCCATGATGTTCATAATAATACCTACAATTACAAGTGGACTTACTTACTAGAGGTTGTGCCAGTTTGCAAAAATGATGTTGTCTGTCTTACGAAGGCTTTTTCTTCTCGTCTTGGCATGGGTAGTCAGGTCCTTCTAGTAGATAAAATCACCGACAAGATTAGGCTTTGTGATCCCTCCACTGCTGCTACAGCTTATGTTGATGTTCAGACCTACTTCTCTAACCCTTTCCAATGCATATCAAATCCGCGGAACGTCACAGAATTCTTTGTCATGGATGTCGATGAGGATGTGTATACTGGTAAATCACAAGGAGGAGCTTCTGGAGCCCCACCTCCCGGACCTCCCAAGGTTAAGGGTTTATGGATTGTTCCGTCAGCACATCTTGGAGCTGATGGGGAGGATGGTGATCAAATGTTTGTCAAATCTCATCTTGGTTATTTACTCAAGATTGGAGATACTGCTGTGGGGTGAGTTATGTTATTTTAGGTTTCATCTAATAATAATAGTTTGATATCGTAGAAGTTAGAATTAGGTGTGTCAGAACTATATATTGGATTATTTTGCTCAACATTTACTCGAATTAATATGCGTAGGTACAGACTGTTACCTCATCGGGACACTCCGTGCTCTTATTTTTTAGATTAATTTTTTCAAAATGTTGTGCATTTTCTGCTTGTGATTTGGGTATTTCCTTTGTCGTGAATTGCAGGCTCCATAGACTACAGTCTTCCAGTCATAATATTAGTTGAATGTTTTGACCTTCAGCTAAATTGATCTGGACTTCTTTTCACAGATACAAAAATGTTCATCTTGTTAAATGATACTATCTGGTGTTAACCGTTATTCTATACTTAATTGACGTCTATGGGGCCCTCGAACTTTTGCCTTTGTTGTTAGCAGAACCTTTCGAGAAATCCGAAAGGTGAGATGTTAAATAGAATTATGGGGGGGGGACTAAAAGTTGTCTTACTTCGTTTGATATATAGATAAATGAAACTGATGTTTTTATCCATTTTCTTTGGATCGTACTCAAGTGTACAGAAGACCAATTTTTAGAATTTGTTCCCAACGTTTTTGCCTGGGCTTGAGCCCACGATAACCAGTTCCTGTTGACTAGGTTAATTAAATTAAGCCGTTCCTCTTGCCAATTCAATTAGCTAGGTACTACAGATATATTTCAAAAACCTCTTAACCTTTATGCTTGGACACTCACGTATAACTTGAATCAATGAATTAACTCCTTGAAAATTTTGTCATAGCTGGATGCATTCTTTAGAGATTAGCCTAAAGACCCTGACTGTTACCTTTCATTGATACTGCGTCCTTTGCATCTTTTAGTTTATTAACTCCCTGTCTACAACTTTCCATGAGTTTCTTTTGCTTTGTTCACGTTCAGTTTCTCTCAAATTTTAGACTAGATCTTCGAAATGCCAACATCAATAATACTGAATTCGACAAGATACCAGAAGGCAAGCGTCCCGATGTGGTCCTAATCAAACGCTACACCGATCCAGCCGCCAAGAGGTGTCGCAAGTATCGTAGAAGGCGTCGACGGGTCCTTTCTACAGGGGAAAGCGTTATGGAGACAGTAACCATAGCCACCGAGGATTTAGAAACCGATGACCTTTCAATGGCAGATGAGACAGAAACTCTTGTTGCAGTCAATGAGGAAGAGGAGGATTGTGAAAGTTCCGACTATTCCGATGAATTTTTGGATGCTCAGGAAGGTAATTATTTTCTTTTTAGCAGATTTGCTCGTGTCACTTGTGTCATATTTTTTATCGCCTTTCCATTTTTCAGAACTTGTTGCTGAAGAATCAATGGAGACGGAGTGACCTACTGATAGTTGTAAATTAAATTCACTGTGATTCGTCATGTATCGTATTTGAACCTAATATAATTCTTTTATGATGTTTTATTAAACTTTTATTATACACAAAAGTCATAGCTATTTGAATATTCTTTAAATTCAGTCTTGAATAGTTAATCGACATGCTGTAAGCTCTCTCATTGATTACTACAGAGAAGAGGATATTTATTTATATCAAATGGCAGGCGCTTTGATGGTTACCATTAGCCCTTTAGTTGACCTTGTAGCGGATTGCTACCTTAGTAAAGCCTGACTGACTCAGAAATCTCTATGGCAAATTCTCCAACATCTAGCTAGACTCCCAGAACCAGCTAAGCTATAGCCCAGCTATAAAGGAAACAGACGTGTAGCACGGAGCACGTTTATTCAGTGGGTATATTACGGATAAAGTGTCTACGCATGGAGCTACTCATGATCAGGATGGGGGATTAGGTTAAACAGATTAATGATTGGTCACTGTTTGTACGGTCGCTGCACACAGAGTTGAACGGCGCACCTCCCAATCCTGGCGAGCAGACATGCAGGCATACGGTGACGCACACAGCGATAATGTGTCCACAACCTCAGGCTTAAA